GTGTTCCCTGCAGCGAATCCCAGCCTGGACCTGCTCAGCGCACCCGAGCCACACCACCAGTTCCTGTTCGCGGCAACGCATCCCAGCCTGGTCCTGCTCCACGCAGCCGCACCACACCGCCAGGCCCTGTTCTCCGCAGCAGTGAGTCCGGATCTGGACCTGATGGCCGCCGCCGCCGCTCCGCCCCGCCATGCCATGTTGTCCGAAGCCCCTCTCTGCAGAGCTCTCTGCCTGTGTCGGGTGGGAGGGATCCTTATCCTGCTCTTCAGAGCTCCTCTGTTTTTCCTGTTCGTGAGGCCCAAAGCCCGCCCTCCCGGCCTATTGGTCGTGCACTCCGTATGCGTGCCTCTTCACCCTCACCTCCTGGCAGGTATTTTTCTTTACGTATGCTCTTTGGTGAGGACTTCTCCTCCTCCTCCTCGGCTTCGGCTTACTCTTCCTCCTCCTCGGCTTCGGCTTGCTCTTCCTCCTCCTCCTCTATGTCTGTGAGCCAAAGCCCCTCCTCTTCCTTTGCTGAGTTTTCTGGCCAGCGTTCCTCTTCCTCTCCTCCTAGGCGCTTTGGCCTGAGGTCTATCCGCACTCCTAGCCCTGATAGTCTTAGGCGTGCCTTGATGCCTGAGCTCGATGCCCTGAGCGCTGCCATTTCAGGAGAGCAGGAGGAAATAAGGGGCTCTCCTCCTTCCCCTGCATCGTCTGTAGTGTGAACCTTTCTGTGATGAGTATTCTCCAGGACACACAGAAAGAATGATTCTTTATCCGCTGGTTGCGTGAATGGTTATTTTGTGCTTACTTGTGAGGTTTTCAAGAGTTCTAACCGTTATTTTATGAAGCCTCCCCTCCCTGTGACTGCTGTGCAGCACATACCTGTTGTCCCTTGATTCCAGTCCCTTCTTCCTCAAATAAGCCTAATTTTGCCCCCTGGTTTAAGAGTTCAGTTTTCTAAGTTGGTTTTATGTAATGAAATATCTTTTAATAAAACTGTTGGTATCCTCTAAAAATAATATTTGTGTTTTTAAAAAATCTATGTCATATTTGGAAGATTAAAGAGTTACTAGAATAAAAGTACTCCCACTGTTGGAAATGGAGTTCTACCCAGGAACTTCCCACTTAAGACACTGTGTACTCTCTTAACATAAGTGATTTGCAACTGGGAGAAGAAAAGTTGACAAAATTTAGCTCAAGGTGGCAGGAAAAAGGAGAGGTAATGGTAATTTCCAGAGTCGGAAAAGATGAGCCACATAATAAGCGTGGTGGTAAGGAAGAGGCAGGGTGAGGTTGAATGGGCCATAACCCAAATGGGAATAGGGAGGATTGGAGGAGGACCCAGGACCAGTAAAGGAGGAGCAGCAAGGATGAAGAGACTGAGGGCAAAAGGTCTCAGTTTCTACGGAGAGCAACTGGAGTTCCTGAGTTCAGGGTTGAGACAAGTCTTAGGAGGGCAATTCAAGTTGATGATTGATTAGAAACTGGTCAAATGGTTAAATATTGAAGGATAATCCCATTATAAAAAGAGACAGCTGAGCTTGTGAGTGGGGCCCATTATTTTAGCATGCAATCACTATAGAACTTACTAATGAAACCAGCTTTCATGATGCATGCCTGTAATTCTAGCACTGGGTGGCTAAGGCAGGAGGATTATGAGTTTGAGTGCCACATAAGCAATTTAGTGAGATACTGCCTCAAAGGAATGGAGGTCTAGTTCAGTGCAAAGGCCCTAGGTTCAATCCCCAGTACCACTCCCCAAAAATTATTTTACATTTTTATCCTATTAAGTCTTCAAAATTTGTGTTTTCAATTTACAACACATCTCAATTCTGACTAGTTACATTTCAAGTACCTGAGTCCACGTGGGTGAATATGTGTGGACAGCATAGGTTTGCGACTTCTTGTTTCCTTCTTCATGTCATTTAAACTGTGCTTCTGTCCGAGGCTCCCATAATTGTGGAATCCTGTCTTAGAAGGGAGCGCTGGGGCATTCAATTTTGAGAGTGTACCCCAGATATGCTGCTCAAGCACTTCATGGGCCCTTTGACTCACTTTCCATGTTTTGATTAAATTGTGATACTGTTAGCCAGTTAGACGTTGTGTCATTGCAGTTATCTTTTTTGGGGGGTTGGGTTTGTTTGTTTGCTTGCTTGCTTGTTTGAGACAGGGTCTCACAATGTAGTTGAGACTGACATGGAAATCGCTTTGTAGCCCAGGCTGGTCTCGAACTCACAGTGATCCTCCTGCCTCAGCCTCCCAAGTGCTGGGATTACTGGTATGTGCCACCACGCTCGGCTCTGCAGTTATCTTTAGTATGCTCTTTGGAGGCTCAGGTGGGAGGATCACTTGAGTCCAGGAATTGGAGCCCCCTGCCAACAGCATAGCAAGACCCCTTTTCAAAAATAGGATGGAGTGTAGCTCAATGTAGAGTACAGTGTACTTGCTTAGCCTACATGAGGCTTTGGTTCCATCCCCAGTACCACAGGAAAAGGGGGAGAGAGGTAATACATGCATACAACCTATGAAAATATTCCCATGTACGTTAAATTCTCTCTAGAATATTTATATCTAATTTGATGTAAAGCTATACATTGGTGTAATACTGTCTTGTTTAGGGAATAATGACAAGACAAATGCAGAATCTGTAGGTGCAAAACCTACAGACATGAAAAACTGTATTTCTTTTTCCTCTTGCAGATATTGGTGCCATGTAGTTAATGTGACTGTTGGTGGTTTGTCCTCATCTATTTGAGTTTGAAGGTTTGGGTAATACCATGTAACCTAGATGTTTTGAAAATATTATCTGTACATTTCACTTTTGTTCTCTAGTTGTTCTGTTTTTATGTCATTATTTAGAGAGGTTGAAGAAGTGTGTAGCTAGTGTTGTCATCATCTTCCCAAAATCTGTACTACCAAATGTCCTTACTCCTTGAAAAATGTGCCATCTCCTTCTTATGTGTTTTCTTAATGTATGATGATGAAAATAGTCTTTTCATAGCTCTGTAAAGAACTCTGCACCAATGGAAAAAATTCAGAAATGAGAACAAAATCTTCTTGGATATGTATGGTATAAATAATATTGGGAACTAAAGAAAATTTTAAGGTTGTATTTCAAGGGCCAGGAATTTAGCTCAGTGGTTCCTCTGCCTGTCTCCCAAGCATAAGGACCCAAGTTCAACCCCCGGTTCCAAAAAACAAATAAAAGTTTGCATTTCAAAAGCTCTCACAATTGTATTTTTTCTTAAATATTTTATAAGAAATAGGTCATTTTCTTTCTTGATTTTGCAGTGTTGGGAATAGATCCAAGAGCCTCATATATGCTAGATAAATGCTCTGCCACTGAGCTACACCATCAGCACAGGAAATAATTTTCATGCAGCAAATCTCACAACCCCCCCAGTGTCAGGGGGCGTACATCTATTTTCATTTTCCATATGTGGAAAGTGAGGCTCAGGGCTATTTTGTGATATTCAAATCTCATAGCTACCAGAGTTTGACTCAGGAGTCAAAATTCTTGGGTTTGACTTCTGCTTTCCTCATTGCCTCACTATTCCTGGACAAGTTAGTTAACCTGAGATCCTATGTCCTCTTGTGAGTCACTTGGGCAGAGTAACAGTGCATGTCTCCTAGATCATTGTAAAATATAAGATTGGACAATATATGTTAAGTACCTCTAACAATGTCTGGAATATAGTGAGTGCTTGTCTCATTCTGCTTATAATCAGGATTATGAACATGGACCCAGATATTCCTGATTGCAACAGCTAGACACTTAACATTGTACTAGTCCTTCCCAGTCAATGATACTTTAAAATCAAATTGGCTATTTTAAAAATTAAAAGATAAGGTCTTTATTGTATTTACTTTAAAATCTAGAGATATTTCAACGGGATGTTAAGCAACATTTTGCAATGCTTAGAGGCCACTGAACAAAAATGTAAAAAATAAAGTTTCTAAGGTACAAGTAATAAGAATTTAACAAATTTGGGTTTGAAGTAGTTATATGAGTCTGGATAATGCCTCTAGGCATTATTTGTATTTTAACTCATTTAAAATATTCACTTTAATAAACGAGTATAATAAACCTGGGATTAACATTATTGGGTGAAAATTGATTTTTTACATTACATGGTATATAGATCTAGCAGGTGAAAATAATCATAGTATGCTTGTATGTGTTAAGTACTATTTTAGTATGTATTTATACATATTACTCTAATATGCAAAACTTTTTTAGAAAAGATGTTCACATCAAACTCAGGTGACATTAAGGAATAGGGATTACATAAGATGTAATATGAAGAAAAGACACATCGAGTTAATAGATTTTTGTCATTGTCCTTTACAAGGTTATGAACTAATTTGTAAAGTAAACTACATGATAAGCCCCTGCATACAGTATTGCTATTTGACCAAGTGTGAAGGTGACGGTTTGGACACATTCATCAACTTCTATTTATTATTAGGAATTGCTGCTGTTTTTCTATTGTGTAAAATTGCCTGGTCAACCCAAACTTCATATGGCATGTGAAATATTTCAACCACACTAACTCAGAGTCACATGTGAAAACAATCATAGTAGGAAGTTCTGAGATTAATCTATTTAGAGGCAAAAGTAGTTTGGAAAGTTACAGCAATGTTCTGGGCCTCATCTTGGGTACTCCTGTGTCCTGTCTATAGCTGCCTTTTGTGTCCCTACCCTCCAAGTGGTGTCTGATCCCCAGAAACTGCTGTGACCTGGGAAAGGAGAAGTGAAAGGCCCACCCCAGAGTCCTGTACCATACCCAGCTACATACAGCCTTCACTTTAGGGTCCTTCTGTGGAGAGGAGCCAGGAAATAACCAAAAGGCCTTCAGTTCCCTAGACCAATGATAACAAACCTTTTAGAGCTTTCAATGATACGAACAGCCTGCTGGGCGCACATGCCATAGGTTTGCTACCACTTAGACCTTGCTGGCCAAGTGTCTATGAAATTATGTAAAGCAGACTACAGTTGTGCAGAAAAACACAGTGCTGCCATCATGAAATTTTGAATGATTTATTTTTTATTTTTCACTGGCTTTCACATGTTGGATTGATCCTAATATTGTATTTAGTAGATGTTTTAAATTTCCAGCCAACACAGCCCAAGAAGGGTAGCTGGTGGCCATGAGTAAAAACAGACAATATTGTAAGAGTAAGATTAAACTGACGCAAACTATAAGGCCAGTTGGTTGGACAGCCCCTAGGAATGAAAACTGCCCCCCCCCCGTGTTGCTTTGTGACCTTGAGCAAATCACATGTTTTCCTGTTCTGCAAATTAAAAGTGATGATAGTATCTACTTCATAATTACATACTCTGAGAGATGCCTATCCTGATCCTACCCATTGCCTTTCTTGCTATGATTTAAGATCATTCCTTTGGGTTCTCAGAGAGTCCCTTGTTCTTAATCTTGTCAGGACTCTGATAATACATTTTTGGAAAGAATTTCTCTATAACCATCTCCCCACTAGCCTGAATTTTGTTGACTTAAATGGAACCTGGATTTTCCCAGTGTCCGCAGAGCCCAGAGGCTTTGGCCCCTGGTGGCCAGAATGAACATTAAAATTATGGTGATAGGAGAAGCAACATGCTCAATAAGGAATAATAATTAATTTACAAATACTTGTTGGAAATAATAAAGAAATGTGTGAACCTGGGATGTTTTTTACTTAAATTTTCTTCACTCAAAGAGCTTGTATCTTTCATCTTTTTCCTTTTTCAAAACCAGCAAGAACCAGTGTATTCCTGATAGCTTCACTTCTTAGTGCAACCTGTTATTCCCTCAGTCTCCAGTTTAACCTTGCAGTGGGACTGCATAAAACATGACCCTGAAGGCTTCCCAAACTGTTACTGATGCTAAATAGGTAAGTAAGAAATATTTGTTCAGTGGATGCTGTATTAGTTACTTTTTGCTCATTACTGAGACAAAATACCTGACACCTAAAGTTAAAGGGGAAGGGGTTTATTTGGCTTACTGTTTTTAGTGGTTTTAGTCTATAATCGGCTATCTCCAAGGCAGAGGGGCAACAGTTCATGGTTACAGAAGACACCAAAAACAATAAAGGACCTTATGGCAAAAGGGGTATCAATTCATGGCGGAGGAAGGCAGCCCAAGCAACAAGAGAACCGTAGCAGTCTTTCTTCTGCTCCTTTTACCTTATTCAGACTACCTAGATGAGGCTGGTACCAAACCAGTCTCTCACATGTAGTGTTTAGTAATCATACACCCTTAATCCTAGCATCATACATTCCAGATTTAGCTACCTTCAAAAAAGACTGTGAGGTTTTGAAGGGGACATCTAGACATAATCCACAACAGATGCCTTGTTAAATTAAGGCAGGGCCAGGGATTTAGCTCAGTAGTGCCAGTACAAAAAAAAAAGCCATGATTACTTTGTTTTATTTTTTAGGTAAAGGGCTGAGATATTTCATCTTACACTTGCAAAATCTAGGGCTTGAACCAAGAAGTCAGTGAAATTGTGGAATTCAAGTGAGCACATTCTTTTGTTCTCTCTCCCTCTTCTGCTTTTTCTCCTTCCACTGATTGGTCTTTGACTTCAAGGATCTTATCTTCTATTTGAGAAGGCAGTCACATAAATCTGAGAAACTCAGTAAAACTGGTAAATGGTCTTTGTAGTATAGATGGTTAACATGAAATGTGGCACAGAAAAGAATGCAAGGTGAATTTAGTATTAATGACACTGTGCTCACTTGAATTTCATAATTCTATTGACATCTACTAGGTTCTAGG